CCGGGTTGCGACAGAAAAATTTTCTTCTCTAAAATTGTCTCCTTCCACCTCCTTTCCTGCTCTAGCAATGTTCTGTCATCTACTTTTGTCTCCTCTTTCTGCCCCCACCCCCTCAGCCCTCACCTCCTTTGCCCCCTCCTCTGGGCTCCTGACTCTTTCTGCAGCCTTTCTACTGCTACTCCTTGGCTCCTTCTTACTGCTGTCTTTCAGCAACACCCCTGATCTTCTGGTAGGAAAGATCTACACATAGCCTTCTTGAACAAGAGCGAAAAATCTCGGAGGGCCCGTGTGCAAGTTACGCACTTTAAAGATCCTTTGGTGGTCTAAAATCGATAAGAGTAGGCTTTGCCCGCTACCTGGGCAAAATTCAAAATTTCCTACCAATTGAAAAAATTTAATGAAATGTGTCCAGCGCGCTCATACAACTTTATTTATGCAGTTCCGAGTGCCGTAAAAGACTTACCAAAAAACCCCCCAAAAACCCCCACACACACACACCCACACACATATATTTATGCAGGCACACATACACACACACACACACACACATACACACATACACACACACACGTGTACACTCAACATTTGTCCAAGTCAGAACACTGGTGGTGTGAAAATGAGAAAAAAAAGTTTTCAAACTTCTCCTGACGTGAACAGTAGTGCTGGGCGGCTAGGTTCCCGATTATTGAAAGCTAGGAATCGTAGGAATCGACTCCGAACCCAATTACTTACTTTCTAATAAAGTGATTTCTTCCGCTGGTTATCTGGTTGGCTCCGCGAACGTCTTCAGGATTTAGGATAACCTTGATTTTGGAACACTGCGAAGTATCAACTTTCAATTTCTTTTTTTTTTTTTAAAGATGATTTTTATGATTGAATGGACTGGTAACAGTTGGTTCACGTAAAAAGGAAAAATCGTGGAGATCGGTTCCGGAATCGAGTCTTCGCCCACCTCTAGTGAACAGCAAACTTCCACACTGCTGGCCAATCACTTTCAGTTACACTAGCAGGCTGAAAGTTGTCTTAGAAATGGAGTCCTTTCGTAGAGATCCATCATGAAAATAAAAAGGCCTACCAAATGTGAATGTCTTGGCTTGAGGATCTTCACTAACTAAAAATGCAAAACTCATGTCCATCTTTTCCTTACTGTAATTTACAGCATTGTGAAGACTTTTCAGAAAGTAGGCTACTACAGAGACTTTGTACTTGGAAATAAAAAGGCCTCTACCAACTTACGTGAATGTCTTGGCTTGAGGATCTTCACTAAATGCTTAACTCATGTCCATCTTTTCCTTTCTGTAAGTTACAGCAATGTGAAGACTTGTCACAAAGTACTACTACTACAGAGATTTTATACTCTCATTAACATGCCTGACTGTGTTCCCTGGATACTCTTTGGTTGTTCTGAGTTGTGCAACCAAATCCTAATAAGACAATATTCATTTCTAAGCCAGATCTCTGCATATTTTTGTTTTTATGGTGAATAGCAGTGTTTAAAAGAAATGAATTATCTTTATTTTTGTAACATTTAGTACTACAGTCGAACCTGTGTAAGACGGCCACCCATTGTCTAGGAGAAAAGTGGTGGAATAAGACAGGTGGCCGTCTTAGGGAGGACTGATCAAGATGAAGAAAACAAACCCTTCCTTTCTGAGGTCGCCTTAATGTTGTCGTTATAGTTGTTGTTGTTGTTGCTTGCGCTAGGTTTTTATCTTCTTTTTATTTATTTTGTTGCTGCTTTTGTGCAAGGGTCACAATAAAACTAAATGTGTCAGACAAGGAGGAGCGAGGGCTATGGTAAAATAAACACATGGGTCGCCACCACTCGGAGAACGAACGATGCTTCTGCAACAAGTTCATGTTGACGTCCATTGTTACTTTGTAACAGACTGGGTAAACAGTGACGACTCGTCTCACTAACGATTTGTGTATGAGTTTTGGGTGGGGCTTATGGGTTATGAGGGATCACATGCTTACCTCACCAACAGCTGAAAATTTGTTACTTATTGGTCAACCGCAGAAGGGCCCTACACAACATGATCGGTTGGATTGTTTGGTGTGACAGGGCTTGTATGTTGAAATATGGTGGCCGCGACCACATTGGACAGGTGCCCGCTTTACACAGTTAAATTATATAGAAAAAACACAAGGGGGGAAATGGAAAGTAGCCGTTTGTACAGGTGATCATCTTATAGAGGTGGCCTTCATGGCTAGTTTGATTGTACTTACACTCGCTGCCCCTATCCAGCAAGTAACTGTGACTGTGCATGAAGCCCTGTCTCTTCCCCTAATGAAAAGTGTTCCGATTTGTAGATATTGAGTTTGCTATTTCTAACCAAGGATAGATGCACGCTGAATTTGTGTCTTGTATGTAAGGTCAACTCCTGCTCAATTTTATGATTTTATAATACTGAATGTTTCTGAATTATTCACAGATACAGTCTGTGAAGACCCAAGCTGGTCTACTGTGCAAATGGCAGAAGAAACCATAATTCTCTTCATTGACGAGGAAGGTGTAGGCCAAGAGTTTGTCGTTAATGGGAATCTGGTGAATCAGCAGCTGCAAGGGGATGGAGGCGAAATTGTCTTGCAACTGGATGGACAGAACTTTGTTGAGGGAGGTTACGTGTGTGAGGCACCATCACAAGTTGAGGTTCTCTCTAATGGAGTTGAAGTGGATGCTTTGAAAATGTCTGGAGTGACACCAGTCAATATGGAACCTGAAGAGGAGGAACCAGACGGACTTTTAAAAGGGCGTCGGATCTCTACTTTAGGTAACATCAGACCAACTAAATATCTTCCTATTGGGGATGAGGCTGATGATAATAAAGATGGCCTTATTGTAGACTCAAAGACTTTTGAGACCTCAGAAATATCAAACTGCATCAAAGAGGAAGAATCTGTACCTTGTGAACTGAGAGAAACACAGAACAGTGGGAGTGTGAGTAAGAAACACATCTCTATACTAGGGTTTGGGAAAGACTTTCTCAGTAAAAAAGATATGCCCAGTGATAAATTTTCCTCTGTTGGGGACTCTGCTGGTGAAGGAAATGAGAAAAGTAAGTCATTAGACCTAGAAGAGTCAATATCCCATGAGCTAGGCTCAGAAGCTAATGCAAGCACAGTGGCCGACAAGCAGCTATCTCCTTTAAAATCTGAACCTGGAGACTTGAAAGATGTTCTTGACACCTCTGCTTCAGCTTTTGATCCAAATTTTCCTTTCAAGTGTCCTTTTTGCAGCAAAGCATTCAAATTAGATATTACTCTTGAACTGCATAAATTATCTCATTCAGATGCCTATGTCTCTTCTTTGGATAGTAAGAGTAAAGGACGAGCTGCTAATGGAGCTAAATATTATCAGTGTCCCGTGTGTGACTTTCAGTGTCCCTTGAAAAGAAAATTAAAATTGCATGCTACTGAGAAGCACAACCTAGGATATATTTTCACTTGCCACAAATGTAAATTTTCTGGACTTTCTTCCAAAGAATATTCAGATCATTTGCAGTCCCCAGAGCATGGAGAAAATGATTCAAAGTTCAAAATGAGGAATAAAGCTATGTCAAGACCATTTCTTTGCAGCCAGTGTGGCTTCCGGACAACAGACAAACATCTCCTTGAGAGGCATATGCTCACTCATATAGACAAGAAGGAATATCCATGTCCATTTTGCTCCTACAGGGGCAAGACGGATCACTACCTCAAGAAGCACATGCGCACCCACAGTCAGGAGAAGAAATATGAGTGTACCATGTGCGCCTATTCCTCTAATGATCCGTATGGCCTCACAAGGCACGTAAAAAACATGCATGCCAAAAGAGACTCAAGGTATAAGTGTAGAGAATGTGACTCTTCTTTTGCAGAGATGTGTGAGCTTCGTGTTCATGCAATGCTTGAGCACGGCAGTGCAGACACACTCTTTTGCCGGCGTTGCACATATTCCTGCAAGGACAAGGGAGAATACAAAAAACACCTGGAAATTCATAATGGTGAGAACATTTACATGTGTGATTCGTGTGATTTCACTTGCAGGGCCATGCCTCTGCTAAAGCGCCACCTACTGCGACATTCTAATGCCAGGACACACAAATGTCCCAAGTGCTCTCTAAGCTTTCACGAGAGTGGCGATTTAAAACGCCACATGAAGAACCACTCCAGCGAGAAGCCATTTCGTTGTAATCTTTGTGAGTATACCTGCAAGTTTCGCAACACTCTAACTTTGCACATGAAAGTCCATTCTAATGTGAAGGGCTACTCTTGCAGCCAATGTGACTACTCAACTAAGTATCCGTGCAATCTGAGAAAACACATGGTCGTTCATGAAGTAGTTAAGCCTTTTTTGTGCCAGTTCTGCTCCTACAAGGCAAGTCTGAAAGCCAGTCTAAAACGACATGTGTTGCGGGTTCATAAATACACTGGCTCCGTCTAATCCTTTGTTGAAGAAATTGAAGATTCTTCCTTTTATCTGGTATTATCAACTTTTGTAGAGATGCTCAATAATTGTTGTCGTTTCATTTGTGCCTAAAAGATAGAAAATGTTTAATGTACCAGTTCCATTTTCTTTTTTGTAGTGTGTGTAGATTAACTAAACAATGCACCCCTGTGCATCAAGTTCAGTGAATTAAAATGTTTCTAGAGCTACACTTACACAGACTGCTTTTGTGGCCTCAAACGATGGTCAGTCCTGCGGGCCTAAATGCTCTGAAAGGGAGGTGGTTTGGACTACAAATGTGAGGCAGCGCGGTGGAATCAGGCTCTTGTCAAAAAAATCCAAGTGAAGAAACTTGCATTTTTCCGCAGGTTTGTTAATTTTTATCAAATTTTGTTTTTTGGCTCAACACCTTTCATGCCCATTAAAGAACTCATTTCTGTGAGGAATTTTCTGAAAAACGAAGATTAAAGGCACACAAAATGTAAATTTTCAGTTACCACGGACTCTTAAGCTAGGGAAATAACTAATCTTTGGCGGCCATTTCTCACTAATTTTACCTCTGAAAATAGGTGACCCCATCGCCTTCATTCGTTAATATCTCGACTTGTATTCAAGATAAATGGATTTTTTTTCCATCTAGATAAAAACAAGTGAACAAGCTTTAAGATGATACCAATAACTCTAAATGAACAAAAATTGACGAGAGCCTGATTCCACCACGCTGCCTCACAAATGTACTTTGTGATTTTGTGATGGAATGGAAAAAATCTGCAAGGTATAATTTGATGTTATAATTTTGATTTGTGTTCAAGTAAAAGATAAAAGACCAGAAAACACTACCTTCATACTTTTTCTTCTCTGTTTTTTTGCTATGATTAAATTTCCCTTCATTTAGCGAGACAGGATAGTATCTATCTATAGTAGCAAGCAGTGGAAACAACTATTGCCACTGGTCGTACCAAGTCAGCTCAAAACACTGTCAATAAATGGCATGCCGGCATAGACTGGTTTATGACTCAAGATTAGTTAACAGCTAACATAAATCTCAATAAAGTCACCATTGTTGGTTAATTTGGGAGTTCATCAAAGGTGAACAAATCATTGGTTTGAAAAGGACAGGTTTTTTTTTCTTCTCAAAAAGCGTTTGAGATAACTGGAATGTTTTCTTGTGTTGTTTACTGTTTTAATACCTTGTGCTTTTATCAATGTAACATTTGTCAGTTTGATGGGAGCACAACTACTGTATACTCTGTTTGTACAGCAGGTTTTTGTAACTGTTAGACACATCAATAAGTCTTGTATCCTGAAATTCACTTTTTAAGCTTCAAATCTGCAAACATTAATGAATTATGTGCTGTTTGTTTCTTTTATGGCAGCACAAGAATCCGGTTTTCCATATTCCTTTCCTTAAAATTGTCATGTTGTACACCTTGAATTTTATGGCCGCATGCTTGACCTTACTAATGGTTTAGAGATGAATAAGTTTGGAAGGTCTGTGTGAAGACCAAGACCTTTTCTTTTTTTTTTTGTTGTGTTATTTTTGTTGGATGGTTGCAGCTGAGTGTCAATGTTATGTTTTTATTACCGGTAAAAAAAATGTTTTGGAAGTCTGCTAGTTGTTTCACAGCCTGTCCTGAACTTTGTTTATGACTGATGAAATGTATTATAATATAATTATACTACATCATCATTTTGTACTTATATAGATATCTAATTGAAATATAGGCGGGGAGCTGGTCAACTTCTTCGGCGAAATGGTCCTCCTAGGCTGAGTCAGTGTCAGCGCTAAATAGATCTACAGTTTATTATGACATGATATATTGTCAATGACATTCCACAATCACCCGCGACTCAGTTTAAGGTCAAAATATTTTTCCTTTTATACATGATGTATTTTAAAAAAATGTTAAACATATACAACGTAAGTGCATCTCTCTATAACGACATCATCTCCCCCCCCCCCCCCCCCAAATGTCGTAATAGAGAGTTGTCGTTATAAGATAGGCAAACAAAAATTACTAATTTATTGGTATAAGGAAAAAATCGGGACTTGGACACCATGTCGCCATTCAGAGGATGTCTTTATATCGACGAAGGTCGTTATGGTATAGGTTATAGAGAGGCTGCACTGTACATATGTGAGGCATCGTGGTGGAATCAGGCTCTCGTCAAAATAATGAAATCGAAGAAAACAGCAGTATTCTCCCTGCTTAGCAATTTTTATCAAATTTTTGTTTTTTGGCTCAACACCCTTTATGTCCATTTACAAAACACATTCCTTTGAGGATTTCACCGAAAACGTTGATTAAAGGCACAAAAATATAAAGTTACAGTTTCCATTGTTATCAGGTGACTCCCACCTCCTTCAATCCAAAAAATCTCAATCTATTGAAGATGGATGGGTTATTTTTTCATTGAAAGCAAGACAAATGAACAAGCTTTAAGATGATACCAATAACTCAATAAACCCAAAAATTGACAAGAGCCTGATTCCACCACGCTGCCTCACATATAGTTTTAGTATAGCAAAATTTGTACACATAATAACAAAAGAATTTTCGTGTTTCACCATTTCGCTATATTATATGTGCGTTCTAGACTAGTTTTTTCTGTTTCATTATTTCACTTATATTTTTTTGATCAGATTGAAAAGTATCTGATCTAGCTCAGATATGGGTGCTGTCTTTTTCTTTAGTTTAATAATCTCAAAACTTTATAAAAAAAATGATGTTCCATAAACATTTGTTGTGGTATAATGACACTGATGATAGATAGGCTATGGCCCCTTGCTGCCACTGTTGAAAGTTTAAAACTGCAAGGGTGTTGTCTCTACACTACACATGTCTGACTGATATTGATATAATGGTTTACTCCCCATATCTAGGTCTACATTTTTGTGTCTCCCACTTTCAGGATTTCCTTCCCACCGTTTATTAAATTACATCATGTAAATAGTTTTATGTTCTTTCTGGTTTTTCCCCCTCACAGTCTTGCTGTGAAAAGACTGTATTGTGGTTTTAAAAAAGTTACTTATAAGTTCATTTCGACTTCAACGGATTTTTAAAAAGTCAGATCACAGGACAAATTCAAGTCAAAAGTCATATATATGTGTGCCACATCAGATTGCAAGTGCAGCTGATCATTATATTTATGTTTATGTCTTTCACTGCTGCCACAAAGTTGACAAAGGGATTTGAGATCGGAATCTCCCCCCCCCCCTCCCTTTATTCTGTCCATTGCAAATTTCCTTAACCCGAAATCTGCTTAACACGAACAAATTCTCTGGTCCCATGAACTAGAAGTTCATGTTATCAAGGTTTATCTCCATTGTGCGGTTTTCCTGAATAACCTATTGACCTAATGGTTACAGCCAAAATGTCAAAAAGTATTCTTTTGAGTTAACTCTGTTAGTAATTTGCTTGAAAATTACGTTTGAAAGCAGATGTAGTTATACGCCTAGTATTTTACTGTATTGTTTTTTCATTGCTGTGACTAGCTACATCTCTTACAAAACATGAGAGGTAAAGAAGAAAGTTTGGACAAGAAATTAGAACTCTCTAAACTCACATTCCTCTCAATCTTCTTACTCTTAGGAACCGTTCACAAATGACGTCAGCTAAAATTTGGCCTAAAATGAAACAGCAGCAGTTCCCTGTTGCAGTTCAGTGCAGTTATGAAAGTTATGAGCATGACATTGATGAATCAGTCCATTTCAATTTACAATTCTACTGTGAATAAGGGTGCAGTGGCGGAGCGGTTAGTGCGCTCGTCTCCGAAGCGGAAAGTCCGGGTTTGAGCCTTGGTTCGGACTCGGATGATTTTTTTTTGCCCTCTCCTGCCCACCCAGCAGTAATGGGTACCTGACTTTGAGTTGAGGAAGTAAAGGCGGCGTGGAATGGAACTGGCCACCCTACCACTATATATGCTGAAGGCCCAGGAAGTTGTTTCACTAACAAGGCAATCCCCAATGTCCGGATCGGATGCGGGAACAACTTTACTTTTCTTTACTGTTCATAAGAACAGGTTAAATGTAATGTCCCCCCTTTCGGAATGGCCCGAAGACAGTCAGTCAGTAGCACGGCCCCAGGGGGTGCCAATTGTTTATTAACAACAATTTTGACCAATCAAAATTATAAATAATTAAATGTTCTAATTTTAGTTCCTTTTCTTTTCTTTTCTTTTTTCTCCAACCTTTTAGAGCCTCATGGTTGGTGTCAACTTTGTAAGGACCCCC